TGAATAGCAAAGAAACGCCACCAAGAGGGGTGGGAAAATGGAGATCACTCTTACTCCAAACCATGCCAAACATTAAGGTGTGGACCTTGATCGGGGATGATCAGCCTCAGGTAAAACCAAATAACCAAATTCATGGCCATCAAGTTGATTCAGACTCATAGAGACCCCCATTGGATTTCCAAGGCTATAAATCTTTACAGAAGCAGACTGCCTCATCTTTCTTTGCAGAACAGCTGGTGGGTTTGAAGTAACCGACCTTTTGTTTAGTAGCCAAATGCCTTAACCTCTATACCACCAGTGCTCCATTATCCTCAAGTAACCACAGAGCAAATTGGCAGGACTGATTGAGTGTCAAAGTGAGCACCCAGAACGAACAATGAGGGAACCATCCAGCACAGAACACAGAAGGACCCATAAAATCCCCTTGTCTCTGCTGTCTGAGACACAGCTCAGAGGTGTCAGGCTAAGCAATATCCTCATTTCCTCTCCAGAAGAAGCTACACAGAGATCATGTCAGGCCCACAGTACAGTGCAGTTGTCCTTAGTTCTGAAGAGAGGGGATACCTAGGCCCTAAAAGAGGCAAGATGAGAATATTTCCTGAGTTTTTTGAGGGAATCCACAAAATGAAGGGTGATTCATAGAGCCCCACCCCTGTCCACAGTTCTGGGAGCTTTCTCCAAAGCTGTAGTCTGAGGCTCTCCTTTATTTAGCTCTATACTGTTTCAAGGTGGCAAGGGTTTTGGTATATGTTGGGTGGGGTGGGGGGATGGGAGGACGTGAAGATGTGGGGGTTGGAGCTGGAGGTGGGGACAGTAATCCTGCTCCTGCTACAGAGGGAGCTTCCTTTTGGTTTTGATTTGGACCTGGAGCCAAGGCCTGAAGCTAGAGTGAGGAACGAAGGAGATACCTAATAGGGAAGTGTTTTCTAGTGCTCCCCAACCCCCCATGACACACACACCTAGTGTTCCTGAATCAGCATCCACATGGTGTGGCTCACTCTGCCATCCAAATCTGAGGTCTCAGGAAGGTGTGGTCTTTGGTCAGCAGAGATGTGAGTCACAGGCATGGAACAGAGTCATGACGTGATTGAGGTACTGGGCACCACTCAACCCAAAATGGGGAGAGCTACACTAAACCTTGGGAGCTCTGGTAGCGTAGTGCCTAAGGTACTTGACTGCTAACCAAAAGGCTGGCGGTTCAAACCCACCAGCCACTCCTCAGAAGGAAATGGGGCAATCTACTTCCATAGTGATACTGCCTCGGAAACCCAAGGAGGGGTCGCTATGAGTCACGTCTGACTCGATGGCACGTAACAACAACAACAA